ATTCTTCACCTGGTCAAAGCACATTTTATTTGATGAGCCTCTCAAAATTCACCAGGAGGACTAATACAAATGTGGAAAGCTTCTGTTTTATAGAGATGATGACTGTCCTTTAAACAGAACAGAGGTAGATAAATTCTGATCCGCATGTCCCAGTGGATAAAAGAAGAAAACATCCAACAAGCCCTAAAGAACAGGTGCAGTGGATATGTTTTTTGTTTGGAGGGTAGTGCCAATAAGTAGAGAAACGAAATTGGGAGGAATAAAATGTGTAAGTTGTTTTGCATTTTTAAAATTTTCTTTTGCAACAGTCTTGAATTTCTTCTGGAGAAACTAATTTTACTCTTTAAGAAATATCTGTGGTTTCTCAAGCTTTTGATTCCTCAGTCTAGTTCTTGCCAGGGGTAGAGGGAGATATTTTAACTTACCAGCTGTGCAGCCCTGGGCAAGTTACTTAATCACTCTTTGCCTTACATTCCCCAGCTGTATAAACGAAGAGAATAACAATGCCTGACTCAAAGAGATGTTGTGAGCATTGAATGAGGAAGGTGTTTAAAACAGTGTCTGCCGGATACACAGTAAGCCCTCTATGTAAGTTTTAGCCATTGTTTCTATTTAAGTACCCCTGCCCTTCCCTAATTTTCTGTTTTACTTACTTCTTGGATCTAAAATAGAACACACAGTCATGGGGACAATGATTAAAATGTTTGAAATTGCGCTCTCAAATCTTCCAGAATATAAACTTGTTTCCACTATGATTAATAAAACTGAGAGATGCTTCTCCAGTGTTCTGTGGCCCTGGTCTCATGTTGTAACATCCTGTTAGGGATTTTAAAAGAAACCCACAGGTTTGAGTTCATCATGGTTCCTTTATAATTGCATTGTTCTGTCTGTGCTTGTTTCAGGAGCCTCTCTAGGAGTTCCAGGGTCACCAGTGTTCCTTTCTTAAAGAACAAGGGTATTGTTTTACCTCTGCTTGTCTGAGCCCAGTCCTGTGTCCTCACCTGCACATTTATCCTTCATGAAAGGGTCTTAATAATGCACATCACTGCCTCTTGTCTACAGCTAGACATAATAAAGCTCCCATAAGCCAGCCGTTTTGCTGACGTGACCCTGAGCCTGTGGACTTCTCTTCCTGAATGCCAGCTCAAGGATGTGCTTTCTTTAGACTCACTTTTTCTCAGCATCTTCAGATTTCTGCCTCTATACCAATTTAGTGCTCGTAATCACTCCCGTGAAGCAAAACTCCATTCTTTTGATCATTTGAGTTGCTTTTCCTTGGTCTCTTTCTGGTTTATTTCTGAACTCCTGAAACTGAGATCATTATCCTTTAACATGAATGAGTTATAATTTGTTACTAAAATGATTCTGCCAAAGGATTAAAAATGAATTTTACTAATTTTTATCTCAAATAGAATGTTGGAAGCCTTCTTGTCAGAGAAAACATTAATTTAGTGCTGCTGGTTCAGTCTGCCTAAAGCCATAAGAAAGCAACAATTTGCCAGTGAAGAAATTATCTCTAGGCAGGCTAATAACTTCATTCATTCATTCATTCATTCATTATTTATTTATTGAGCACCCACCATGTGCAAGATGCCATCAGGCACTGGGAATACCAAAATGAATACAACATGCATTCTCCCCTCAAAAAGTAGAAGAGACAGTAAGTTGAACAATAGAAAATTACCATAAGAAGAAGTGAGTATTTGTGAAGGAGCAGCTCCTTGCCTTGGCATCTCACTGGGGAGGGGGCAGGGATGCGGGTGGGGAGAATGCAGGGTGTGGCCTTTGCTCCCTCATCTTTGCAAGTGAAATAGCTGGCAGAGGCCAGGTGACTACTGTAACCTCTGTGATATTTGCAACTCAATTGATGCATACAAATCATTCATCTGTGTAGGGTGAAGAAGGACACAGGAAAAGGACAAATGGATACCAAATATAGAGAAACAGCTTCAAATTACTGTCAAGGAATGGAGAGAAAAGTATCCCAGGGAATACATCCAATTCGTAGCTGTTCCCTGGGACACAATATCGGTCATTCTTAAAAAGCAGGAGACTTTCAAATTCACTCTTGCTCATGTAGTACATTGGCCCTCATTTACATACTTATCAGACCCTGGGTTAGGCTTTCTGCAAGTTATAGTGGGGTTAGAAATAACTGTCAATGCAGGGTTAGAATAAATGTTGTGCCCTTGTCAGAGCAGAGTAAGACTAAAGTCCACTGAAGAAGCCACTTATAGAAGGCCATTGGATGTGGCCAAGTGAGGGGTCAGAAGAGCCAGCTTTGGTATTTGCCTCTGCCACCAACCAGCTGTGTCAGCTTGAGCTAGTATGCTCATCACTCAGCACAGTATTCTGATCTGTAAAATAGGGATATCAATTGTTCCTATCTCTATGCTTATTGCACGGCAGAGCACTTCAGAAATGGTAGACATACATTTAATTGGTAAGGAAAAGGTTAGCAGCACAATTAAGGTAAAAGTCACGCATTGTTAAAAATTTTGTTGATAAGTTATTTGCAGCTCTACAAAGAACCCCCTTTTCTTAATCTGCCTCTATAAGACCATTTCATTCCTCCTCCTCCCTCCTTAGTGCCAGGCTCTGTGAGCATCCCTTCTGAGGCTGAATTCCCATTCCGTCTGTCCCTTCTGCCTCCATCAATTCCAGGTCAAGCTGGTCCCTGGGAGTGCCTTCCAGACCTGGACTCAGGTCCATTAGCCAGTGAGGGTGTGTGAGACTTCCCCTTATCTTGTTTTTGCATTAAGCTTTGCGCATATTAACTACAAATGAATTTTCTTTCCCGTTCTGAATAAAAAATGATTTGATTTTACTGAATTATCAGCTCAAAGTGAGTGGACCAGAGGCCAGCTGGGGTCTGCTGGTCAGAAAATCTGACTCAGCCTGAGTGTCCTGTACAAAGAGTGAAGCAAAGAGAGCACTGCATTGGACACCTTGTCCTTGGCAAGTTATTTCTCACCATCTCTGGGCTTCTGGGTTTCTCTCCTATAAAATGCAAGTTGGCCAATGACTCGTAGGTCTTCTAGCCAAGACCTTAGTGATCTGATGAAGACCTCTGTTTGCTGACATTCAAAACAATTGCGCAAAGTGTTTAAATGTGTTCTTGTTACTATCTGTAACAAGAATCAAACAGGCAGCTCCAAAGACCTTTCCTCTAATCAGTCCATTTTGGGCAGGGGTGGGGCAGGGAGGAGGGGTGCTTGCCTGCTTCTGAAATGTCCTGAATTACTGTCAGAAATGGTTTTACAAGGCTCGACTTGAGCAGACTCAACTTATTTTATACACTTGACATTTATCTATATCATAGACCCAGCTCTTCTCAGAGAGTACACAAACTCAGGATTCCTGTATGTGAACAGACTTTCAAGAAAATCACATTTCACACATATCTCCCTTATTTTTATATTGCTACTTTCATCGGCCCATTTTAGTTAGATGCCTACTGCTTCTCACAATGACTCTTTGATGGTGAAACTGTCTTTGATGGCCATTTTAAAGGCCCTAAAAGCTAAGTGACTTGATAGTGATTACAAAGAAATCCCCAAGGAGCTTGTTCTTGAGACTCCTATAATTCAGCTTTCAGACCACACATGGGACAGCAAGTACCTCTCTTGTAAGAAGTGCTTTATTAAATCAGCCTCATTCCGATTGGAGGACCCCGTCGGGTAACCAGCTGTTCCTGCTTTCTTGGGAATTTCCTGGTTTTAGCACTGAAAGTACCCAGGAACCCCTGAGTTCTGGATGAACCAGGAGAGTGAGTCACTCTAATACTCAGGTTTCTCAAATTTCAGTATATGCAAGAATGAACACATGTGATGATTAAAATTGTAGATTTCTGAGGTAGGTGATTCTGGTCCAAATGTTTTCCTGACCATACTAAAGAATACTGGTAAGTCTTATAAATTTGTCATTCATGGCATTTGGCATTTGACTACTCGTTGTTCTAGAACTCATCAGCACCTCAGAATCATGTGGGAGCTTTTGAAAAATACTGGTGCCTGGACTTGACCCAAATCATTAAAATTAGAATCTCCCGGAGTATAGTCAAGGCATTGGGATTATATTTTTAAAGTCCTCTCTCACATCAGGAGAACTACCAGATGGGGCAGATGCAATGGCCATTACTTACCTTGAGATCCACAGTGTCTAAACCCTCAGCAGGCAACTGGCTGCAGCCCCTCCACTTCCCACCATTCCCCCTCCTGCTATAATACAGGACACATACTTTGGAGTGCAAGGTGGCAACATTTGCTGAAATTGAGGACAATATCACTTCTAGGTATAAAACATAAAGAAACTTTTGGATAAGTGCAAAGGAGATATGTATGAGAATGTTAAACTATAGCTTTGATTGTAATGACAAGAAACTGAAAACAATCTAAATGTCTAGCAACCCGAGATTGGATGAATAAAGTGTGATGGTATATTCACCCAACAGAATACAATATTGCCGTGAAAATGAGTGAATCAGAGATACATATACCAGCATTGGAACAAAGTTACCATAAGATTTTTCTAGTTAGAGTCTACTGTGACCAACTCCTTGGAGACTTACAGACTTCACTTTGGCAAGCAGATTGTCCTTTAGCACAGGGTCCCTGACATCAGTAACACATGGTTGCACAGCACAGAAAGCCTCATGCCAGCTGGTAGAGCTCATTTTGCCTGTTCTCAGGAAACAAATTTCTTTTGGTATAGAGAGAAATTCTATAAGAATTAGGTAGCTCTTTGCAATCTTAAAATATCTGCATTGCAATCTAGAAGTTTCACAGACTGACATTTTAGTACTGGTTCCTGAATTGCTTTTAAACAGGTACAATTCTGCTGCTGCATTCTCATTCATCATCCTCTCATTGGCCACACATAGCAATAAATCCATTGAAATGAAAATGTGTCCTTGAACCCAGGATTTCAAGGTTGTTAATCTTATTTGGCTTTTCTAGGTTGCTGACAAATGTTTATTTTTAAAGGGCTACAGAGCTTACCTGGTCCTAGTTTGGCCACGGCATAGAGGAGGTCGTAGTTGAGGACTGGCGTGGCATCACTGATGGGCTGCCAGCCAACGGGAGGAGATGCAGGGGGTGAGATGAGAAACTGTTTGGCGGGCTGCGGTGGAGCCAAATGAAGTTTGTCTCCGTCTGTCTCTGGAGTCTGAACCTTTCGAATAGAGTAGAAATGAAGACACATGATTTATTACGGCCTCAGGTGTGCTATGTTGGTACACTAAGATACAGAGCCTCACTTTTAGCCTGTGACAAAAGAAGCAATGACCCAGGCTATAATAATAATTATTACTTACCTCACCGCACATGCTCAATTATCTTATTTCGTCCTTAAAACAGTGAATCTCAGCCTTTAGTGTGCATCAGAATTACCTGGAAAGCTTATTAAAACACAGATTGCTGAGCCCCCTCCTGGAGTCTCTGATTCAGTAGATATGGGTTGGGGGCCAATAATTTGCATTGCTAACCAGTTCCTGATGCTGACGCTGTTGGTCCTCAAATCTACCTTTTCCTACTATCCTCTTTTCCTCCCTTTCTTTCTTCCTGCTCTCTCTCTCTCTCTCTCTCTCTCTCTCCTCTCTCTCTCTTTCAGTTGACGTGAAATTGACATAACATGGAATTATTCATTTCGAAGCAAACAATTTGGTGGCCTTTAGTACGTGCTCTCTCTCTCTCTCTCTCTCTCTCTCTCTTTCAGTTGACGTGAAATTCACATAACATGGAATTATCCATTTCGAAGCAAACAATTTGGTGGCCTTTAGTTCATGTCCAAGGTTGTGCAACCACCACTTCTATTTAGATCCAAAGCATTTTCATTACCTTAAAGGAAAACTTGCATCCATTAAACAGTTACTACCACTTCTGTCTCAAGTCAGAACCTGGAAACCACCGATATGCTTTCTGCCTCTCTGAATTTACCTATTCTGGACATTTCATATAAATGGAATCATAGAATATGTGACCTTTTGTGTTTAGTTTCTCCCATTTAGCATAATGTTTTCAAGGTTCATCAATGTTGTAGCATGTATCAAGACTTCTTATGGGTGAATAATATTCCATTGAATAGATAGGTCACAATTTAATCTATTTGCCCACTGATGGACATGTGGGTTGTTTCTGCCTTTTGGCTATTGTGTGTAGTGCTGCTATGAACATATGTGTATACATATTTGTTTGAGACTTATTTTTCATTCTTTTTGATATGTACCTACGATTGGAACTGCTGGGTCAGATGGTAACTCTATGTTTAACTTTTTAAGGAAAAAAGTCGGGTTTTAATAGATGAGAAAACAGATTTCTGTAAGTCACACAAGTAATTAGCAACGTGGGATTTGGACATGGGTCTGATGTCAAAGTCTAAGTTTGATGTCAAAGTCTAAATTCTTTTTCATTTTTAGTTTTTATTTTGTTTTATTGTGGTAAGAATACTTAGCATGCGAGCTACCCTCTTAACCTATTTGTAAATGTACAATATGTTATTCTTGATTATAGGTACAATGTGGTACAGCAGATCGCTAGAGCTTATTCATCTTATTTTACTGAAATTTATACCCATTGATTAAAAACTCCTCATTTTCTTTTCTTCCCAGTCCCTGGTAACCACCATTTCACTCTTTGGTTCTACGTATTTTAGATACTATTTTAGATACCTTACCTAAGTGGAATCATGCAATATATGTCTTTCTGTGACTGGCTTATTTCACTTAGCTAATGTCCTCAAGATTTATCCATGTGACATACTGCAGAATGTCCACACTACACAAAGTAATCTACAGATTCAATGCAATCCCTATTAAAATTCCAATGAAATTTTTTTATAGAAATAGGAAACAATAATTCTAAAATTTATACATAATCACAAATGACCATAAATCAGCACATTTCCTTATTTTAAAATATATTACAAAGCTATAGTAATCACAATGATATAATATTGGCATAAAGACGGACATGTACATGAATAGAACAGAATAGAGAGCTCACCAATAAATCTATACATATAGAGTCAACTGATTTTCAACATGGGTGTCAAAAATACACAATGAGAAAAGTACAGTCTCTTCAACAAATGGCGTTAACAAGATATCCGTATGCAAAAGGATGAAAATTAACATTGTCTTACACTATACACAAAAATCAACTTGAAATGGATTAAAGACTTAAAATCTAATACCTGAATCTGTAAAACTCCCAGAGGAAAGTATAGAGGAAAGGTTTCATGACATTAGACTTGGCAATGATTTCATGAACATGACACCAAAAACGCAGGCAACAAATGGGACTATATCCAACTAAAAGTCTTCCATTCAGAAAAGGAAACAATCCACAGAGTGAAATGGTAATCCACAGAATGGGAGAAAATATTTGAAAACTATATATAGGTTAAGGGGTTAGTCTCTAAAATATATGAGGCAATCCTATAACTCAATAGTGAAAAAAATCAACAACTAATAACTCAAAAAATGAGCTAAGGACTTAAATAGACATTTCTTCAAAGAAGACATAAAAATGGCTAATAGGAATATGAAAAAAATGCTCAGTTCACTAATCATCAGGAAAATGTAAATCAAAATCATGAGATATTACCTCACACCTGTCAGGATAGTTAATTTTGAAAAAACAAAAGACAACAAGTGTTGACAAGGATTTGGAAAAATTGAAATCCTGTACGCTGTTGGTGATTCCTCAAAAAATTAAAAATAGAGCCACAATATAATCCAGCAATTCCACTTCTAGGTATTTATTCCAAAGAATTGAAATTCAGCCTTTGAAAAGATATTAGCACTTCCATGTTCACTGCAGCACTATTCACAATAGCCAAAATGTGGAAATAACCCGTCCATCGACGGATAAATGGATAAAGAAAGTGTAGTATATACATAAAATGGAATACTAATCAGCCCTAAAAAGAACCAAAGTCTATATTCTTTTCACTGTATCATCTTTCTAAAGATGGAAACAATGCTTACTGACCAATAAGAGGTGGATCAAGATACCTAATGTTGAAATGAGGATACTGATGGAACATTATGTACACTGATTTTCTATGCCGTGGACTTTGTGTACCTTGCCAAGAATTACTATCCCTTTTTGGAATAGCCAGAATTTATTTTTGGATTAAAACACAAAATTGATTTCCATATGTTTGTAACCTTTTCTTATAAATGTGAATCACTGAAAAGGTATACAGTCCACTGTCATATAATTTAAATTTTAATTACAGCCCTTCCAGTAAGGTTAGGAGTAGTTATTAGAGCATTCATTCTTGACAACTATTGGCTAGCATTTATTGTGCATTTACCAAATGCTAAGCACTTTAATACTTAATAATTAATTTAATCTTCAAAACAACAGAACAGGGGTATATTTCATCATCTCCATTTCATTGATGAGGAAACTGAGAGCCGCTGAGTTACATAACTTACCCAGGGCCCAGGCTCTCAGCCTGCGTAGCCTGCTTTCTAAACCTCTATGTTATCCCTGCCTGGGAATCATAAAATAGGATTTTTTATCCCAGTGGGCTAATTGTAGACTACAAACCAATATGAAAGTAGAAAAGAGTTCCATTTACATTTTAAAAAGGAAAAAAAATACGTAGGGAAAATGGATTAACTTTAGAAAGAATTACCTTACCTGTGCAAAGTAGAGTTTTAATTTTTTCCCTCTGAACTGGGTTTCATGAAGCTCTATCCTGGCTCGGGCTGCAGATTTGGGATTGCTGAAGTTTATTCGGACACGTCTGAAACTCTTAAATAGCTGGAACGTCACACATTCATCATAAGTCCGAAACAGACCCTCAAATTTTTCCTGATAAAAACAAACACAGAGGAAAATCCATTGGTCCCATATTTTATATGATGCCTGATCTGATAAAAAAAAAAAAGTCTAAGTATATAAATAGTCTATTCCTAACATAAAATTAAAACAAAACACCGGTTATGTATTTTTCTTTTCATCTGTCCATCTGTTACCAGGTGCTAAACATGCCTGAGGATTCAGTTAAAGGACTCAAAATCTAGGTTCAGGGATCTGTAGAGGATAAGTGAATGAGGTCTGAAGTGCATGAAAAACCTGAAAATTATGCAAAATGCTGAGTAAGTTTCTGATATATGTTTCTTTCAGGGGAGAGAGATCATAACTTTCACGAGGTTACCGGAGAACTCTATTATCTCCAAAATATTAAAGCTATTGAGCAAAGCATATGGTAGACTTTATTAGTAAGTCTCGATCTTGGAGGCACTTTTCTTGCCTAAAGACAGAGTTGAGAGCCCACGCTCTCCAAACCCTTCTAGCCAGACAGTGCCATGTGATTAGTCCTGGTCAATGAAATGTATGTAGAGATAGGAAAAAGCCCTTGAGAAAATTTTCAGTCTCTTTCTCTGAAGACACCATGCGATCCAGACGATACAGGAGTCAGAAGCAGAAATTTTCCTCAGCCTGGGTCCATGAGTGGCTGTATGGAGTACAAACACCTTTCTCCCTACTCGCACTCCATCCTGTAGAAGACTTTGCCTTGACAAGGGGAAAAAAATGGACTTCTATTGCATTAAACCACTGAGATTTTGGGGTCCTTTTATTCCTGCAGCATAACCAAGCCTATCACAACACAAAGCAATCATTTAAAAATTTTAATTCAATGCAATTTTTAATTCAATTGAATAAATCTTTATTAAATGCTCACTTTGTACAAGGCTTGGTTTTTAGGCTTTAGGAGGATACAGAGATGAGTACCATTTTGTTTTGACTCTCAATGATCTAATGATCTAATGTGAGAGGTAGACACAGAAACAAATAAGAGAATGCTCATATGACTTGGAAAGGCATAAAAGGAAAATTAGAGAATTTAAAATATATATGTATATATTAATACCATCTCTCTGGTGATTCTTAGCTTTAAAAATAATCCTTATTATAAGTAACAAAATCAGTGCATGTTAAGTTACTGTGTCTTCTTAATGGAAAATTGCCACCAAGGAAATAACTTTTATTAAAAAAAAAAAGCTCTGATTCTTTTAGTTTCATAATAAAAGATATTTTGTCATAAGAATGAGTATAAGTGGGAATGAAGGTGCACAAAGGATTAATACTGCAAGATTCATTGAATTTTGATTTGTAAGGGATCTAAGAGATAATTAACTCAACCTTTCCCTCCTCACCTGCATCATTTTACAAATCAGAACCCTGAGGTCTGAAGAGATGAGGACCTGTCCATGGCCACATGGCCAGTTAGTGGCAGAGCTATGACCTGGCCAATGTCCTTGTGACCCTGAATAGAGAGATGCTTTTAACTACAGAAAAAATTTCACTGCCAGAATGAGAGAAAGAGAAAGTTGCTCTAAAAAGAGCAAGAGATGGATAGCAATCAAATGACCCAAGACTCTTACGTGACCACGTCTAAGAGGATCAATGAGGTGATGCAGGGCTCTGAGTTTGCACAGGAAGAGGCTCCCACACAATAGAGAAGGTCTTCCTGCTTCTTGGGCATCCCGATGAGCTCATCTCAGACCCCCAAGTCCCTGGCTTGTGATCTTTCCAAATGCTGTTGCCCATTTCTGAGATTCCCCAGGATGTGGCCCTCCATAGTTTCCCCATTTTTGTCTCCTGTGTCTGCACATATTCTCTCTTTTATACCATGTCTATCCAGTCCAGAACATCAAACGATATACTCAAAGCATTTTTTAAGTTTTATGATACGTATGGAGATTTGAGGGTTTTTTCCTCCCCTTTTCAGACCCATTCTTACTCCCCTTACCCTATCAAGAGTGAAACAAGAGCCTCCTTTACTAATCCTTGGGTAGTTTTTCTTATCTCTCAAGGATTTGGATCAGCCAACAACCAGGCCTGGGGCCTCAGCTACCATGCCAAGTGGGCTAGTTAATAATCTTGCGCTTTCCTGAACACAAATCTTTGTGAATACAATGCGTTCTGGTCAAATCATAGCTGGTGGTTTGATTAATTTGGGGAATTTTCTGGAATGGAAAGAATTAGATTAAAAACTCTTATTTCTATATAGAGTATCATCTTTTTTAGGACAAAATCCCTGGGTTTTCTTTGTGGCTCTCTGTTTTTCCATTTGCTGTTCGGGAGCTCCACTTCCATCCCCACCCCAAGGCCTCCGCACAGGCGTTAAGACAAGATTTGGAGGGGGAGGCGCTCTTTTCCTTTGAGTCTAACTCACTGCTTTTTCATTCTATAGTTCTTTTGAATGCCTCACATTCTCAGCTGTTAAAAGCTGTTTGGCCTTAAAAGACTGGAATAAGAGAAAGGAATCAAGAAGTCCAGGCTTTAGGCTTAGGGGAGGAGTGACAATAAATGGCTTATGTGCTGCCTCTGTTAGGAGGCCTTGTCAGGTGTCAATAATGATTGCAATTGTTTTCTCCACTGCTCCTCAAAAGAGGGCTCCAGGCAGCACAAACATCAAGCTGGAGTTGGCAAATGACAGAAACCTTGCTGATATTCCTTTTTGGGCCTAGGCCAACAAGTCAAAAGATCCTTTTCACCACATCTGGTGCTCGGCCCAGAGCTCAGGGGCCAGGATATTGATTAGACCACCTGGGGACCAAACTCTATTACTGTAATAATGATAATAATAATAAAGTAACATTTACTTGACGTGTCCTCTCTGCATAGGTCTTTTGGGAACTTGTGGGGGTGGGGTGGGCAATGACACATGACCATGAATTAGGGACTTGCTAGCCATCCCCATTTTTTTCATAAATGACACAACAAACATTTCATTTGCTGAGGCAATATAATACCAGACCAAATTGGTTAGAGGCAGATTCAGTACAGGGAACCTGCTAGATATCTCCTTAGGCAAAACAGTGACGTGAACAGAGCCAGCCCCAGGGTTCCTCCACCTGCCCTTGTAGCAAATCGTCCATGGTTTTGATGCCCAGGTTCCTATCAGTACACAGTAATATTTTGCTGTCCACTGGCCGGCATTTCCTCTGGTGTGGTACCACACAAACCCAATAAATTCCTCATTTCCTCAATAGTTAGTTCTCTTTGTAGCCACTGGTTTGAGTAAAGTTCTATAGCAGCAATCTCAAACTTTGGTCTCAGGGCCTTGCTATACACTCTTAAAAATTATGGAGGATTCTAAAGAACTTTTATTAATGTGAGTTTCATCTATCAATATTTATCGTAGGAGAAATGAAAACTGAGAAATTTAAAAATGTTTATTTATAAATTCATTTAAAAATAATAATAATGAACTCATTATATATTAAAATAATCTTTTAATAAAAAATAACTGCTTTCCAAAAGAAGAAAAAATTTAATAAGAAGATTGGCATTGTTTTACATTTTTGCAAATCTCTATAATTTCTAACTTAAAAGAAGATACCTAGAATTCATATCTGCTTCTGTATTCAAGGTGTTACACTTTGCTGTTTTGTCTGAAGAGTATGGAGAAAAACTGGCCTCATCTAAATATATGGTTGAAAAAGGGAGGAGTATTTTAATGGCTTTTCAAATAATTATGAATATTCGTCCTTGATACGTCATTAAAACTAGACGAGTGTCAGTCTCTTAAAGTATATTGCGATGCTTTTACTTGATTATATTCAAATCCATTTATCTATTTTGCACTTTAAAGGATTTTTTTTTTTTTATCTATGCATGATTCTATAACAGTGTGCAGTGGTCATTTGGAAATATTCATTCCCTGAGTTATGAAGCTTTTCCAAATGTTGACACATTTCATTACACGATATCAAAAATCACATTCATTGATATTACCACTTATCTTATCAAAAAGTCCTTAGAGATTGGAAAGCTGTCGGATTCATGTTGGTGGATACAAATTTTTCAAAATTCTAATTTTTGCTTGAAAGTTCACTTTTTATCATTGGCAACAAACACTGTAGGTTATTCTCCCTGAAGTAACATGCCCACTCATTCATTTTTGAGAAATGGCTGTCAAATATTAAAGTCTGCATAACTCTTGTTTGTCTGTTATTTGTTTTTTCAAGGCAAAATGGTATTCCATGAGAAAAGTGAGTGCTTAGTTCAGCTTAAAACAGCTTAAAATGTTTCCTCAAGTCAAACATTGTATTTTGGCATGCTACAGAAGTGCTTTATGTATACTCCCCATTTCATTATTCAGATTATTTAAAAGACTCAAGGGTAAAGAGTTAATAAAATTAACAACTTCTGCTGCTTCATCAAGAACATTCTTATGTAAAATTGGTATTTCCTTTTTTTTTTTTTAAACTGTGAGTTTGTGGCTGCAAAGAATACAAATACTGCTAGTACAATTTCGTGCCACTGCATTGATTCATACTGAAGTTGTAACCACTACTGCTTTTGTGCCATGGGTATAAACATCAACTTGGTTGAAATAGGCAAATCATATCTTAGTATAGTATAAGGATAGTTTCGACCTCAAGGGAAATGGTCTCGGGAATTCCCAGGAGTCCGTAGCCTACCCTTGAGGACTGCTGTACTCCAAGATCTCAGAAAAAGTAAAGATTTGGTTGGCTTGAGGTGAAAACAAGAGGTCTAGTGAGAAACTTCAGGAAGAAGACAGATCATGCAAGGATGTGTGATGATAGCAATTACAAGCTACAGGGATGTAAATAGGATGAGGGTGGTCTTGGCATATGTGAGACTACTGGTAATCCTGAGAGCTGTGTGAACACATATGGAGGGGAAACAGATTATTATAGACTGAGGAGTGAATGAAAAGGAAAAAATTTAAGAAAGAGAGTTTGGCAATGACAAAGAGAGAGCTCGGATGATAACTACATGGGAAGTCAGGGTCACAAGAAGATTTTTAGTAGTGTGGGGAGACACTTATTAGT